GCGATGTTTTTTTAAACAACCCTTATCAGAAGAATATGTACGAAGAAACTTATATCTCAGTTCCGTCACGAAAAAAGAACAAATTTTTTCAATCTTACTTGTAAACCATCATTAGATTTAACACACACTCACACACACACACATATATATATATATATATAAACACACACGCACACACACACACACACATACACGTATATATATATATATATATATATATATATATATATAAAAGAAATATATATATAAGAAATATATATGTGTGTGTGTGTGTGCAAAGATATAGAAAAATAGGAAAGAACCGTTAGGTTAATAAGCCGAAGTTCTTTAGTATTTTTGTTTTATTTAAAAAAAACAGTGCTCAATACACAAGTAGAGCCTATATTATAATTATTTTTTAAAAATATGATATCAGTGCTACATAAGAGTTCTCATGTTTCAAAAACAGAAGCTAAAACTTCAATTTAATTATAGAAATTAGATTAAATTAAATCGTTATTTTTCATCCTCAAGCGAATTTATATATATATATATATATATATATATATATATATATATATATATGTGAAAAGTGTTTGTATATAAATATAAATACATATATATATGTACAATTATTTAGATATTATATGCGCGGTACTTATTAGAAAACGCTCAATATCAGAGATAGAGCTAACATATTTGGTTGGATAGATGTGAGTTTGTGACCCTGGGTTTCACGCTTTAGCGATCGTCAGACAAACTCCTGAGTTAAAAGCGTGACACCCAGCGTCACAAACTCACATCTATCCAACCATATATATATATATATATATATATATATATATATATATATATATATATATATATATAAATTCGCTTGAGGATGAAAAGGAATGATTGCAATATTCGAGTATCATTATATATATATATATATATATATATATATATATATATATATATATATAATGATACTCGAATATTGCTAGCTTTCATCGACTTAGTTTCATGTAGACGTTCTGTCTGTTATACGGTAGTCTCATAATCTTTAGGGCTTACGAATTCATAACGTTGAAACACCGTTTTCTATACAAACACCGAAGTTAAGCAACTTTGAGCGTGGCCAGTTCCTAGTATTTTAAACAAATACCTTGTTATGTTATGCTTTAAATTCTTTGTTGCATATTAATTCATTTTGTGCATAGTTATGACTTACGCTCTGTGATAATGTCCCTATTATTGGGATCCATGTGATCAGAGAAAAGAAAATTAATATTTAGTTATCGTGTATAATACGCTCTTCTAACTGTTAGATTTAAAAATCTGGAATAAGTACGTATTGCAGATGAAGAATCAAGGGACCCAAGAGAAATTGCCGAGCACCCGATGAGTAATGAATCCACTTCTGAGGATAGACGGTAAAAACAAACAAAAAACAAAAAAAAAAAACCTACTGATCGTCGAAAATTTAGCTTTTGCACTTTTAAGGGAAATCCTACGAGGGAGACTGCCTGAATTAATTCCACGGGCACAAAGATAGAAATAGTTTGGTCCACTTTCGACTGTAGATTGCTCTTTTGGGCAGCAATAAAACGAGTCACTGCCAATTATTGTTCTCTTTTGTTGTAGATTTTAATCATTTCCGCCGAGTCAATACCCTTCTTTCGATAATCCAGCACGTATTCGGTAAGTTATAATAAGAAATTATTCCCAGAGAGAAGTTGACTTACTACTATATCACGAGGAAAAAAACGGTTCTCTTACGAAGTTAAGCAACTTCGAGCTTGGTCAGTAATAAGTGAACGCTTGGGAATACCAGCACCATAATTTTGTATATGGGGCTGGGTTAATGTATTTTTATTGCTATTGTTATATTGATTCACTACCGCCATTTTTTCTTCTGTAAATGATTTTCATATAATACTGGAGATCAAAGAAAAAAATTCGGAAAGTTTCGAAGTCAGTGAAGATCCTGAAGAGAGTGTTAGAAGTTGCAAAGATCTGTGTTTCAAAGACAAAAAACAATTGCTGTCAGAAAGTAAGGAAGAAGACAAAGAAGAAATATAATTAAATTATCCTATTGCATGAGACACGACCTACTGTCTTTAGTCTAATCTGATAGAATCTAATATTTTAGGTTGGCATTTTGTATAGAAAGTTTAACGACAATTAGAAATACGTTTTTTTTACGGCAGCAAAACAAAATGAGTTATTTATCACATGTCCACAAAGATTTACAATCATTTCGCTCAAAAAAATTGAACGAAAAACGAAAAAGTTAACAAAGACAGGAAATGAAAAATATAAGGAAGAAAGAAAAGCAAAAGAGAAAGAAAAACAAAAGTAAAAGGAAGTAAAGTAAATAAAGAATGAAAAATAAAAAAGAAAGAAAAGAATGAAAGCGAGGAAAGTAAAAAGTAAAAGAAGAAAAAGCATAAAGATAAATAAGGAAAATAAAAATAAAAGTCAGACGAATATAAAGAAAGAAAAAATTCGAAAGAGAAAGACAGCAAAGTAAAAAAAGAAATTAAGAATAAAAGTAAAAGAAATAGAAAAAAAAAAGAAAAGAATAAAAAAGAAAGGAAAGTAAAAAAGAAAGAAAATAAAAATAAAAGAAAGTGAAATAGAAAGAAAGAAATGAATATAAGAAAGAAAAGTAAAAAGAAAAGTCTTCAAAACAAAAGCATAGAATAAAAAAAGAAAGAGAAGCAGAAAGAAAGAAAGAAAAGAATAAAAAAGAAAGAAAAGAATAAAAAAGCAAGAAAAGTAAAAAAGAAAGAAAAGAAAAATAAAAGAAAGTGAAATAGAAAGAAAGAAAAGAATAAAAAAGAAAGAAAAGTAAAAATGAAAGAAATAATGTAAAAACAAAATAAAAAAGTAAAAAAAAACTAGAAAGAAGAAAGAAAAACCTAAAGAAGAAAAATAAAAAGAAAGAAAACTAAAAAAAAAAGAAGAAATTAAACAGAAATCAAAAAGCTTTCACTTGAAAATATCAATATGTTTGATATTGGGACTAAAAGAAATGTTTACACCATGGTATTCATTGGAATGAGAAAAAAAATCTTGTTATTAAATAAATGTGCTTGGCAGAAACGGGATTTATTTCACAATAACAGGATTATCTCAAACTTAATGTAAAAAAGTGTCTTTCAATTATTATGGAAAAATTGTTACAATATATGGCGAATCGTTTTTGTAAGTCTATTATGGTACAATTATTTGAGAACGCAACGGGAAACCACTCCACTACATTTCCTAAGAGGTTACGGCAATTCATAAAAAAAAAAACAACAACAACAAAAAAAAAAAAAAATAATCTGTGACAATCTATAGGGTTCATGGCATCTTTTATAATATATTTACAATCTGCTGTTAACTAGGACAAAAAATGACTTGTTAATTTTAACGCTTCAAAAAAGAAAGTGTTTTCTATCAATCATCTGAGAGACCTCTTTCTGCCTTCCATCGGCATGGGTGATGCTAACCTTCTGGAGAGAGTGACTCGACGCGTCTTCTCGGGGTAACATTTTCCGCTGACATGAAATGGTAAGTTTATACTGAATCAATTTTTGTTCTGCTGCTATGAAAGTTTGTTAACTGTGTCGGGCTAGACAATTACAGTCTACCAATCATCTTTGCTTTGAGTATTGCTGTCACATAAGGTCTGGTGTTCCTGCTTATACATTTAGAGATTTTTGATAAAATCCAAAGAAGAATCTGCAATGTTATTGTTCCTGACCTTACATTCCGGCCGCTTTAAGGGTTGCTTCCCTGTGCCTTTTCTATATATACTTTCATGATAATTGTTCTGATGAACTCTCTTTCATGGTACCTAGACTTTAAGCGCGGTACTAGATTGGCGTCTCGTCATTTTACAGATGAAATGGCTAGAAGTAACCGTAAGTTCTATGCTATGAGGTTCTTCTATCAATTATCTTGCTTGTAAAACTGTCCTCTGGCTTCTTGCTTCCCAGTCAATTTTGATTTTCAAAAATTTAAATGCGATGTCAGTGGTTAGTGCTGTCGGCTAAATTCTTGTTCTTTTATTGTTCTCTCTCCTTAATAGTAGGTTTATTTATATTTTATAATAATCAGTAACCCCTTGTGTCTTAGTTACTTTATTGCGTTGTTTGACGGGTGAAATGATAAAAAAAATATTGTGGGTCCGTTGCCGTTGGGAAAAAATTAAAGTGTTTAATCGATAAATAGCATGGTAGACTGTGTTCTCTAGCATTGGTTTGAAGCTATTCTTACAAAAGTATAATGCCGAAGGTAAGAGGATAGCAATCAATTATCTTTCCAAAGAAGTATTAAAAATAAGCGTCAAAAGAATGAAGCTTGTAGAATTTGGCGAGAATCATCTTTCTTTGTACCTCTTCGACTGGCGCTACAGAATCACTAACAAAGAAATGTACCACATAACAGAAACCAAATCACTTGAGCACTTTCAACGACAGTAACAACTATTATGGATAACATAATTCGAAGGGAAAGTAATACTATAACCCGGATGATGACGTTCCACACTACCTTAAACACAAGGAGAGGGTCAATATTGGAAAGAGTAATAACAGCTACTGGACATGAGAAATCTATTTTTCTGAAAATCTCTTTTCAAAGAAAGATTTTATAAAATTCAACAGATAGAAAATTTTATAAAATCAAGCTACAGTATTACTGCAGGTTGGTTAATCTCATTACAGAAGAGGAAAAAACTTGAGAAATGTAGTTCTACAGTGGGATTCATGGTCGAGCAACGCTGAAGTTTTAAAGATAATGTAAACAAAAATTACACTAGTAATGTAAACAAATATGACACTAGCAGGACATATTAAATGCAAGATGAACAGAGGAACAAAACGCATAACCTACCTAATGAGCTTGTGGTACACTGACTTACCTAATTGGAGAGCACAACGGACATTGGCCTGGACATTGTCATGGCCGATCAAGGTAAGATGGCCGCAACTGAGCATATATAAAATGTGGTATAAGGGTCTATTCCCAAGCAAGATCCTGTGCATTCAAATTGGCGCTTGAAGGGAAGTAGAGAAATTACGTGGTGACACAGGAAAGGGGAAGAAAAAAGATAAGAGAAAAACATGAGGGGGAGGAGACTGTAGAGAAAAGAAGTTGGAGGGTGTTATGGTGAAACACACCTATTCTATAGTTAATAGACTCTCTCACCTAATATAAGTAGGAGTAGTGAGAGAAACGATGGTCAGTCGATGTTAGTCGATGTCGAACGACAGTTAGTCGAATACGAAAGTATCAGCGACCACAGCAAGATTACTCTGCGTAATACCTATTATATCAAGTTCCTAACTTTTTGTACGTCGAACCTATTTTAGGACCTATTTAGTACAAATACAAGCCTCCACTGCGAAATCACTCCACAACAGAGGGGAAAAAAGAAGAATGTAGAGGCAGAGAAAGGAGAAAAAAAAAAAAAAAGAAAGAGACAAAAAAAGTAAAAAAAAAACGAAAACAAAAAGACTGAAGAGAAAAAGAGAAACAGTTTTTTTGAATTGGATTATTTGTTTTTTACGTGTTATCAAGCATTATCAGGTTATTCAAAGCTCCCTCTAAAAAAAACAAAACAACCCCCCCCAAAAAAAAAACAAATTTAGCTTGTAAGAATATTTTATCGATAATAATGATTTTTGCTGATACAAGTTCTACTAATTAACCTAAAACTGGCAAAGAAGAGGGGGAATTCTTGCCTTTCCAAAGAGTATTTACACGTAAATAAATTTAACGAACCCGACTTGTATTGGACCTCGGCTCTCCGATTTACAGTTTCCTGTCGTAATGCATTATACCAAGCGCACATCAAAGATTACAACACCTGGTATCCCGAAGCAGTCATTCATCTCGACACTGACAAGGCTCGACATTGACAAGGCTCGTCATTGCTTAACTTCGGTGATCCTTTGAGAGCCGATGTTTCAACGTGATATGGCCTTTTGCCAAACAGAGAAAGATCGGGTGTTAGAGAAAAGGAGCAGGATTAAAGAAAGATAAAAAAAAAAGAGAAGAATGAGAAGGAAAAGAAAAGAAGTAGGTGGAAAATGGAAAAGAAAGAGAATAAAAGAATTACGAGAGGAGGAGTTGGTTGTAAGCAAAAAAGCGAAAGAGGAAAACACAATGACGAGAAGGGGAAAAGCAGTAGGAGAAGGATGAGGAGCAAGAGAAAAGGTGTAACAGAAGGTTGAAAAATACTGACTCGGAGGAAGAATACTGAAAGGAGAAGAAAGAAGAGAAAAGGAAAAGAAGAGGAAGAAGAAAATGATTACTCGTGTTTCTCATTAACTTGAAACGAAAACGCAAGAAATGAAATGCCTTATTTGGAAAAGAAATCTTAGTAAAGTTAAAGTTAATTAACATGTTGACATATTTCAAAGTAAGGCTTCTATCACGTTTATACTGATTTATTTCGGGTTGATGCAATGATTGAAAAATTAGTATTTTGTATTTGTTTTAGTAACGTAACTGAGCTTTATTTCCGGTCTTCGGAGGCTGGAAAACTTGAGTTCATAAATGTTTTTGTTACGCACCAGTTGGAAAGTTGAATCAAATATAGAAATTTATGAAAAACAATACCTTAATTCATGTTGGTATCTGTGCATGTTTGCGAGTGAATGTGAGTGCATTTGTGCGTATGTACAAGGTGCATTTCAGAAGTTTTCAGTCTTTTTCTGGTGAGGGAGTTGTCCGTGATTATTATATTTTTCGTATATCATTACTATACATATACGCCAGATTTTGTTATTCTCCATGGTGGTCCAAAAGTCTTGCCAACCCCTACCAAAAAGTAATGAGAGTATTAGAAGAACAAGTAATTGTTGTTCATGATGACGGTCGTCTTCGAGTATAGAATCCAGAGGTTAGCAGTGAATATTTCGAAGACAGTAGGGAAGCGTTGTTCAGGTTAGCAGTGGATATTTTGGTAAAAGTAGCAGAGCGTAGTTCGTCCTTCTGTTTCTCTTCACCTGACAAGCTGGAATTGGACATTCGGGTAGAGTAAACAAAATGGCCGCCTTTATACAAGACGGATTGAATGTTCTACGTCTTCTGATTGGTTAACCTTCTATTGGTGGACTATACAGTGAGTCAAGTCACTTGTGCTAACTCACTAGTACATACGTATACACAAAAAACTGCAACAGTAATCTCTATCTATAAAAGGAAGGAGGTGTGTGTGTGTGTGTGTGTGTGTGTGTGTGTGTGTGTGTGTGTGTGTAAAGAATGCACGGCCGCAATTTTCGACGGATTTGCACCAAAATTTACATGCACATGTTCCAAGTTAGCGGGAAGATCAAGACCGACTTTTCCCAACTCACATCGATAGTGGATATAATCGATTTTTTCATGCTTCTACGGCAGTTTTCATGTAGTTTGCGACCATTTTCTATTGGCCAGAATGAGAGCCAATAGCTGGCTGCCACGAATAGGCAGGAAGCCTCTATTGGCCAGCGTGAGAGCCAACAGCTGACTGACACGAATGTTAACTAACATGCTAGCATGCAAAAAAAAATCGATAGCAGCATTCGTCACAAGTGGGAAAAATTTACATCTGCATGACACTTTACTCCAATTGGCTCAATCGCTTGCTTAAACTCAACGTTGATTCTGATTCCGTAGAACTGGGTTGGGTGTGAAGAAGTATTTGTTGTTAACATTCTTTTTTCATACGGTTTTTCCAGTTATGGGTCCTTTTTTTTTTTAAAGGTGATCGTTTTGTGTTCATTTTGTTTAGTTCTTTTTTCGTAACAGATTTAATGTTTAGTATAGAGCTTAGAAAAAATTCGCAGTGTGAGATTGGCAAGAAGTAAGACATGTAGCAACAACAGCACGGCAAAGTGCACTACTTAAAAGGCAAGGAAGGGCAAAAATATTTTAAGTCAAGTGATAGCGATTGCTGTATGACTCGTACGATTTTTGAATCAAGCACGGGCGACGCCGGGCCGTGCTGCTACTACAGTAATACAAAGCACGTGTATTGGATTAAGTTTATTCACTTTCATTGATACTCTCACATAACGAGAAGGTGTATATGAACACCATCATTTTCGTTACATGAAACGATGTCGTGCCATGTCCTGTGTGATATTTTACAAATATGTGCTTTGTTGATTGTTGCAAAGGCTCTCCGAACCGCGTCCTTCAACTGATGGGTATTCTGGTATCGTTCATATGAAACTCTCCTTGATAATAACCCACAGAACGTTGAAATAGAAAATCATATTATGTAAGACTGACAGGACTTTCTGACCACATTGTAGATTAAAGAAGACGCCCGTAAACGCTCTTTGAACACACCTTACTAAACAGGCTTGTCAGAGATGCCTAGTTTGCAGAATGGCATCGTAACTGGAAGGAAATTTAGAATCTCGCGATGCAATAAAGTTTTGTGTTAAACTGAGCAAAAATGTGTCTATATTTCCGAGATGAGGAATTATAATTATTTACGCTATTTACATTGTTCGGACTGATCCTTTCCTCTTTAGTGTCATATTCACGACGTTTCAACCGTTGTACGTTTCGGCCTTCTTCATGATCTGTCTATATTTCTCAGATGAGGTATTTTAACTATTTAAGCTATTTACATTATTCAGGCTTTTGTCCTCATCTTTATTGTCCTATTCACGACGTTTTGGCTATTGTACGGTCAGGCCTTCTTCAGAATCTGTCTATATTTCTGAGATGAGTTATTTTAACTACTTACAGTATTTACATTGCCCGGGTTGTTGTCCTCATCTTTATTGTTATATTCACGAAGTTTCGGCTGTTATACGCTCCGTTCTTCTTCAGGTGATTGGAATTTCGAACCGAACACTTTATTTCATCCACTGTTTTAGTTCCTTGCATCTTCCGGATATCTTAGTTTCAGTTATTTCTCTTTAGTAAGTCATCTCGCCAAGTTTTTCTTTTCACCTCTACTGCGGCCAGGTATTGAACTCACAACTTTTTGTGTCAGGTCACTGGATTATTTCAAGCAACCCTTTTATCCACTGAGCAATCTGTCCTTGAGCAAAAACAAAACAAAACAAAAAAAACAAAACAAAAAACAAACCCAAAACAAAAACAAAATAAAAAAAAACGTTACCGGGAGTTATGAAATTCGCTAGACTGCATATGTTTTTCGCTGGCTCAAGAGGTCGAGGACGATAGAGAGAATGTGACAGATTTACACATAGCTGTGGCAAGACGTGCTCTGTGGTCAGCAAACCCGCAAAGCAGCAACCGACTATCCTCTCTAACATGCGATGTGATCCTAAAAAGATATCTTAAGCATTAATAAGTTTCCCATGTCAATTCATTCTAGCCATTTATCCGTAACACATTAGTTAATCTATCATAGTCGGCACGCGCTCGCATCCGAGCTTCGGGGTCGTCACCCTCTCTCCTTTTCCTCTCCCCCACCCTCGATGGAGATGGATGTGGACCCAGCCTACTCGTGAAGAGTAGTGAGCAGGAGGGACATAGGAGTGTGCCTAATAGACGCAACTGGGCGAATCGTGCCCTTTTGAAGGCATGTTGCAGATCCTTGAACTGGAAAGTTTCAGTCCTCCCTCGGATAGTCTTATGCCAGGAATGCCGATTTGTAGCAACGGTTTTTCCCAAGTCTCAGAGTCGATCCTTTGGCCTGTATCGGGGAGGTTTACAACTGATCCTTACTCTATACTTTGCTTAAAATAAACATTGTACGGACAAAAAAATCTAAACCGAAGATAATCTATAGCTGCCGACGTAATTCAGCAGTTTCCTATTTCACTTTAACTCTAATAAATATTTTCCAAATCATATATTACTGTGCTGGGCTAAGCTTGACTTCAATTTCACACTATAAATAAATAAAAAACTGAGTGCAATAGGTTACCCACCCGGGCTCTGTCTCAGCCACTAAATACGGCATTATGTGACATCTCAACTGCAACAGCATTAGAACGAGAATGCTGGATCAATGATTATACGAACAAGCGCCTGGCTGTCTCCGGTAGTCTCACACACGAAAGACGGAGAATATGCGGTCCTCACATCAGACGACAGGAGTATAATAGTTTGGCTGAGAGTAATTGACGGAATATCGGAGGGATTAAAATGTAATTGGAGATTAAATTCTCGTGTTATCATCCAATCAGCATCTTCTATATTATTGTCAGGTTGCTATCGGTAACGAGGTAACGGTATAGGGTAATGATCACAAGGTTCAACCACTATAACAGTTAGATCCACTTCTGACGCACTTGGTCAAGCCAACACAATAAAATCAGTGTGATAGTCCGTTGCATGTTCATACTTTTTCTGAATTATCTTCATCACCATCATTAGTTCCATGACGTAGCAGTTCCCTCCACATATGTGGGTTGAAAGCCGTAGCGGGTTTTGCTCAAGTAGACCTGTTGGAATTTATCCAATTATCAGAGCTTGAGAGCTGGTCTCTCCTCTGACCGAGCTCTAACAGCTCAGTGGAAGATAAAACTGGCTGGTTACATTCCACTATCATCGATCGGATCCAGAAATATCACTATTCACGACGAACAGATGTTCCCTTAGGCAGTCGCCGTGACTTAAGCACCTAGTCTCACTTTCTACTCTCGATAGGGTGACGAATTATTTTTGTTGTATCGTGAAATGGATGTCGCTACACATATAAAAAAGCAGTAGTAATTCATTACGAAGAATAATACCGTACTATCAGTAGAGAATACGGTCTACTGTAATAACAGTTAATCCTGAAGTTTTTCAGTTGACGTTTGTGTGATTGCTTTTACTTGGCCGTTGCTTTCTTTTTGCATTATTACAGCTTCTAAACCGAAATTACTAGCATCGCTTTTTTTAAGGATTTCACCCCAAGCCAGGCGGGAGTGGAAAATATTGTGCTCATCCCTAGTGGGATGTGACAAATTGGATCGTAATGGGCCTGACATAAGTTTGATGTTAATATTGTTTTAATTTTTTCAAAAGCGCTGACATTCCATATTCCAGTATCATTTGGAATCTTTTTTAATAATTTGTTTAGAGGAGCCCTCAATACATGCATATTTGGGATAAAATTATCGTAGTAATTTGCTAGATCCAAAAAAAATATAGTGCCGACACATTTGTTGGGGGCAGCATATTTCTTATTGTACTCGACCCCAATGGGTCTGGTGTTCTGCCTTTTGCATCTATAATTTGTCCGAAATACTTAATGTTAGATAAGAACAAATTTATATTTATCCAAGCAAAGTTTTAAGCCGTATTGTTTTTTGTCTTTAACATGCGCGGAAAGTTGTTCTCGGTGTTCACTTTAAATTA